TTTTTAATATGCTATCTAGGCTTGCCATAGCTTTCCTCCCAAGGAGCAAGCGAACTGCTCTACAAATCCTCAGATGGAAGATTGGTAGCTATGAATCAAAAGACATTGTGCAGCGTATCTGTTTTTTCCTTCTTAAAGGATTTTCTGTAGTATGAAAAAAAAGAAAGAAAGAAGAGGCAGTGAGAAGTCATGGTATTGTTAGAAATGGAAGATGAAAATGTTTGGAGCACTTTCCCTGCCCCATTAAATTTCTTGGGGTGGGAAGGACAATTGCCAATAAAATCCATATCCCAAAGTACCCATGGGGCTTGAGGAAGGGTCAGTTTTCCCTGGTAACTATTGTAATGATAGAGCCAGATGTTCAGAAGTATTTTTAAAAGCAAAAAGCTTGTCCAGTACAGTATTCAAAAAGAGGTAGATAAAAGAGGGAAAATTGTGCATAAAAGCTGGGTGTGTAAGGAAGAGTTGCAAACATAAGTGATGCAGATTGTAATGGATTAAGGGGGAAAAAACAGGGAGAAAACATAGAATACTGCCAGACAACTTTGAATAGAAAAAAAAAAGACCAATTTATTCTTTACTTTGTTGAGTTCAGAAGAGGACTAGTACCCAGTGGAGCTCTTGAAATAGCTAAGCTATGAACAATTAAAAAAAAAATCTTGGCAGCTGTGTCCTATACCAGCTGAAAATCCAAACCATTTTCAAAGGCAGAACTATTATATCTAATGCATTATAAAAAAAAACACCACGGATTTTAAAGGATATTTATAGGGAATTAGCTAGAGAATTATCAGTGCTTCTTGTGTTAATATAACATTAGAAAGATTGGACCATGGAATGTGATACATGAGTCATTTAAAGGGTTTTGGAGATTTGCAAGTTGTATATCATATCTTTCTGTAATTGAAAAATCCTTGACAGTTTCTTCATAAAGCTTTTTAAAATTGGGAAATAGAGCAGTCAATCATAGGAAACTCTAGAGAGAGTATATTATCTCCTCTAGCACCACAGTTTTATGTTTTTGAAATCCTATTTATTTATTTACATCATTTCTATATTGCTGACTCCCTAAGGTCTCTTGACAGTTTACAGAAGTTACTCATAAAACATAGAAACGTAAAAAAGAAAAAAAATCCTGTCCCTAGCAAAATCCAGCATCCAATAATAACTTCCCTCTTTCTCATCATTAAAAGTTCTGCAAAAGAGTGCTGCTTTGAGAACCCTCTGAAAGAGTGTTAGGGAAGGCCAGATCTTTGGAGATAATGTGTTCCAAAGTACTATGGCATACCCAGAAAAAATATCAAGTTCTTGCTCCTGATTTCACTGGAGAGGATGCGCTCTCAGCATCCTCATTCTAGCTGAATAAACGAGACCAGTAGGTCCTACCAGAAGCAGGCAGTTCTGTGCATACCCCAGCACCAAGGCGTAAAGGTTAAAACAGGCATATTGAATTGTACTCTGAAGGCTATTGCTAGCCAATGCAGTGCTCACAAAACCAGAGTTATATGGTGCTGGTGGCTCTCAACATAAGCAAATGAGCTACTGCATTTTGTACCAACTGCAGCTTATGGCTAGTCAAGTACATTGCAGGAGTTCATGCACCAGGAAGGGCTGCAACTGCCACAGCTGGGCACAAGGAATTCAGCTCATTTATTTATTAGATATACTTACTAAGAATAAGAGAGGGTAGCCTTAATCTGATACGTCCATACAAGATAGGTCAAACTTTGATCTTTCTTGTTCAGGTTCACTCAGTAATCTTCAAAGCAGAAAACAAATGTGAAACTGGGTTTTGCAAATCTGTATTCACCGCCATTCTACTCACTTAAACTGCATGACTACAATGAAACAGCATTATTAGCCATTGCAAAATAATTAATAGTTGTTCTGTATAAAGAAATGAAGCTAAATGATAGGGTTATGGAGCGCTTCAGATTCTGTTTAGAAAAGGTGCTTCAGAACATACAGGTGCAAATACAACTCATTAAAGCAGCTGCATCTATTTCAGGGTTAGGCTACTGTGGAGAAAACCTCCCTGCAGCAGCCAGATGGTCCTGGAAAAAAATGTGATTGCATCAGGGAGTTGCAGACAATGCTGTATTTCCATTCTGATGTGTTCCAAAGCATTCTCCCAGCATAACTTTCTCTCAGATTCTACCTGTTTCATGCACAGGGCTGACTAGATGGGGAAAACCAGGTCTGTTTAAAAAGATGTTCTCCACAGAAACAGACTACTGGCATAGGCAGTTTAAAAATAATACAGCTGTTGACAAAAGCTAGTTTTCAATGAATTACGATTACTTTTGCTGGTAAGAACTCAGTTTAGTGCATTCTCTTTTGATGGGTATATTTAACCTTACTATGAGTCATCTTTTCTGGCTTGTACCTGGTGTTTCATAAGCTGAGAGATACTATCAATTTTGCCCAACCTTTGGATAATACATTAATAATATGTACACTTTTTGGAAGTGTTCACTCCTCAGTGCCATGAGTTTTAGTTTTCAAGCTAAACTAAAAAGAAAACCATCTAATTATAATTAAGCATATTAAACTCAGTGGATCTCTCTCTCTGTATCGAAAGCGGTATGCAGAACAGGAACAAGGCTGAAAACAGTGATGCAGCCAGCAAATAGCACGGAACTTCTTAGCCCTATTGTTGCACATAAAGCATTTAAAACTGAGTGAGCCCCTATAGTAGCTTCATTAGTTAAGAGATACTTCTATAACATTTCCCTCCTCTCCCAATACTACCACATCCTGACTGTGTGCCTGCACATTGCACATACCTCCTGGATGGCAGGATGCAGGCAGCAGTTTTGATCAGAGATCTTATTTTTCATAGACTAGCCTGAGCAGGCTTGTGGCATGGATACAACTAAGGCTGGTAACTAGTCTGCACCTCTCTATATTACTGAAAAGCATTGTGGGAAAGCCTCAAATGACCAAAGCCATGTACGAATGTGGAAGAGAATGGCATATAGCTGTTTGATAGATTGTCATTTATTCAGTGAACTGGAATAAGTTCAATGGACTTCTAGTTGGATCTAACATATCTAGGGAAATGTGTCAGAAATTAGGGTATTCTTTTAAATATCTTGGTATTGTTATTCCTTGGAAAATATCATTTGTTTTAAATATCTTAGACTATTTAATCTAGTTTTATATAGATATAAACAGATAGTTAAACTTCAATTGTTTACGGGTAAAAATACATGTTATGAAATGAATATTACTTCTAGTCTTGTGTTTTAAAGAATGTTAAATATGTTTGCCATGACCCTGAGATGAGCTTTCAATAGTGGATTGAAGAAAAGCAGAAGGACATATACCAGAACACGGAGGTGAAAAAGAAAGGAATTTGGTTGACAAGTACTTTATTGCAAAGCCTCAATCCTGACATGTTTCAAGGAAAAACCTAATTTTCAGGGAATTGTTGCAGTGGGAAAGTATTCAAAGCAGACTGTAACTGAATTGGAATTGGGTTTTGTCTATGTAATGGAAACACTGATCAATATGATTCAAATTGGGCAACATTTAATTTAGTTAAAAACCAAGTCAGTATGAGGAGTATGTGATAGAAGTAAAACATGGATAAGATTAAATGGAATGCTTAGCAAATGGTCGAACACTAACCATGGAATAAGATAAGGATGTGTGGTGTTCCCTGGCTTGTTGAATGTATTTTGGGCAAATAT